TTAGATTGATGACAAGTCAAATTCATCCATAAAACTTCAACAACCATACCATATCAAAATTCCATCTTAAAACTCATATTACAAATTCCTTCTTAATTCCTTTATCTTATTGTTTAAATCCCATATAAGCTTTCCTTAAGCTTATTTAATACCCAAAGAATCAAAATCCACTTAATATTTACAGTAAATAACTATAAAAACCCAACTTACCTATTGTAGCTAAGCCCCACGTGAAGAAGAGAAAGCAAGAAGAAGAAAGCTTCCAGATAGCTCTCTTCCCACGTTTTTCACTCTTATAAAAGGGAAAGAAAAAAATATCTTTTAAAGGAAAAAGACCATAATACCCTTAATTTCCTTTAATAATTACTAAATAACCTTCATCATATATTTCCAATAATCATTGAATTATTTCATTCTTCTACTTTAGTCATCAAATTCTGAAACTTTTCAATTTAGTCACTAACCCGGTATTGCGGATGTTACAGTAGCTGTCAATGATGCCTTTGAAGAGTTCGTTGCATAGGATAGTGCGTTGGCATCCTGGCTCATTTCTACCATCAGCCCACACCTCTTACCACAATTTGTAGGAGCAGATTCAGCTGCTGCGGTGTGGAATACAGTGCAACAGTTATTTTCCAGCAGGTCCACGACTACTGACATGGTCTTATATTGCAAGCTACAATCGCTGAAGAAATGGAATGATAGTATGCGAGTCTATCTTACCCGCGTAAAGGAAGTTTGTGATGCACTTGCTTCCTATGGAAGTGTTGTTTCACATGTCGGTCACATAGCCAGCGTCTTGAAAGGGTTGCCCAGAGAGTACCAACCATTCATGGCGGTTATTACGATGATGAAAGAAGCTCTTTCTTTGGAGGATTTTTACACGGTGCTTTTGGATGCTAAAGCTCAGCTAGCAGGCTTCGATAAATCGGTGGATTTGCTACCTATGAGCGCTAATGTTGCTATGCGCAAGGGTGATTTTGACAATGGTCGACGTGACTCCAGGGCCTCACGATCGGCTTTAGGAAACCGGCCAGTTGGTCGTAGCCGAGGACGGACTCGAATCCAGTGCCAACTGTGTGGCAAACTAGGTCACCTTGTTGACCATTGTTGGCACCGATTCGATGAAGATTTCATATGTATGACCTTTGATTCTCGTACACATAAGAATCAGTTGGCTAACAGTCATTATTCAGCTGTCGAATCCCTCTGCTCAAGCTGTGAATACTGCAAGGGACGTTCTCACGCAACAGCAGGATCTTCGCAGACCAATATTGCCTCCAAATCAGCGGACCTTTGGGTAGTCGATTCGGGTGCAACGCACCACGTTACTCCTGATGCTTTCAATATCGCAAACTCTACTGAATTTCGAGGCCCAGGTAAACTCACTGTGGGAAATGGAGTTTCCCTTAACATTACCAATATCGGTAATTCAGTCTTGGATTCTTCAAAAACCTTATTTTTTAATGATTTGCTGCATATACCCCGTATAACAAAAAATTTAATTTCGGTATCCAAGCTTGCTAGGGACAATGCAATCTATTTTGAGTTTCATGCTGCAAATTGCCTTGTACGTGATGAATCCACTAGAGAGGTTCTTCTGTGCGGTGAAAAAAAGGGTGGATTGTATATGTTTGCTTTTGGTTATGCACACAAAGAAGAACATCGTGCTGGTGTGCATCTTATAGCAACAAATTTATCTCAAGACCAGTCTGAGCTGTGGCACCGGCTTTTAGGGCATCCTGCTCAGTATGCATTAGAAAAAATAGCTAAGGAAATCAATGTAAAACTTGATCCTGAAATTAATAAAACATGTGTGGCTTGTCACATAGGGAAAAGACACAAGCTTCCCTTTGCACCTTCTGTTACTCAGTATACAGTCCCTTTTGAGTTAATTTTTTCAGACTTATGGGGTCCCCCATATGTGGCTTCTAATGGCTTTCGATACTACATATCGTTCGTAGATGCATGCACTCGGTTCACGTGGGTTTACTTCCTAAAAGATAAAGCTCAAGCTCTACATGTGTTTCAATTATTTCACAAGTTTGTTCTAAATCAGTTTGGAGTATCAATAAAAGTTGTTCAAACTGATTGGAAGAGAGAATATCGACCATTCTCTACATTGTTAACACAAGCAAGTATAGTACACCGGTTGTCTTGCCCACATACTTCAGAACATAACGGTGTCGTCGAACGAAAGCATCATCACATAGTGGAACTCAGATTAGTACTGCTTGCTCAGGCATCTCTGTCTGTCCAGTATTGGTCATATGCCATGGTAGCCTCGGTTCACCTTATTAATCGATTGCCCACTAATGTCCTTGATGGGGTTTCACCCTTTGAGAAGCTATACAGCAAGAAACCCGAGTATTCCACACTGAAAGTGTTTGGATGTCAATGTTTCCCGCATCTAAGGCCTTTTCAAAATCATAAGCTGGTGTTTCGTTCTCAACCTTGCACGTATCTTGGCTTCAGGCCTAAACATAAGGGTTATCAGTGCCTTGCGAGTAATGGTCGGGTTTATATATCACGCCATGTTATATTTAATGAACTAGTGTCAAGCTCAATGTGGCAAGCTTAAGAAATACCAATTGTTTCTAATACTACAAGGTGGCGTCAAGCAATTATTCCAGTCGATGATAATGTGCCTGAAGAGGAGGATGAAACTGCCGCAGATCAAACATAATAACAAACGCCGCCTGAGGTTGTTGCTGAAACCATACCTACCTTAGACATTGTCGAAGAAGTTATGCATGTCCTAGAAATAACTACAACAACCAGCTCAGGTCTTAATACAACTGCTGCAGATGAGCATGTTGGCAATGGAACTGATACGTGTGATAATCTGTCCAGTGGTTCTGGAAATGATTATGTAGGTTTGCTAAGGCAAAACTACCACCTCATGCTAAATCGCAGCAAATGCGGGGTATTCAAACCCAAGTCTTTCTCTAGCTATTTTGAGGATGAAATTCCTTCCTTAGTCCAAGATGCACTGCAGTCCGATAACTGGAGAGCATCAGTTCAAGCCGAACATGATGCCCTTATAAAGAACAATACGTGGTCCATAGTAAAACTACCTGCTGGCCGTGTTCCTGTGGGCTGCAAGTGGCTATTCAAACTCAAGCAAAACCCTGATGGATCTGTTCATAAGTATAAAGTACGATTAGTTGCAAAGGGCTTCTCACAAGTGCCCAGTTATGACTTCACAGATACCTTCAACCCGGTTATTAAGTTTTCCACCTTATATATTGTGCTAGCTCTAGCTGTAACGAATGGGTGGGAATTGAGACATGTGGACATTAATAATGTGTTCCTCAATGAGGATTTAGATAAAGATGTTTTCATGAAACAACCACCGGGATTCGAGCAAATGGTTGAGGATGGAACCCCTCTTGTTTGCAAGTTACACAAGGCGCTCTATGGCCTTCGACAAGCGCCCAGGAATTGGCATACCAAGCTTAGAGGTATCCTTATTAGAATGGGGTTCACTGCGTCCCGAGCAGATCTGTCATTGTTCATTAACAAGGAACATGGTTGTGACATTTATATATTAGTATAAGTCAATGATATAGTTATCACTGGGCTATCAACATACAAAATTCAAGAGGTAGTGAAATTGCTTAGAGAACAATTCTCTCTCAAAGACTTAGGACTGCTTAGTTATTTTCTGGGAATAGAGGTACATCGATCACATGGCAGCGCATATGGTTACAGTCAAGCGCATACTGAGATACTTGGCTGGTACTATTAATTATGGACTGTTATTTCGACCGATAGATGATTACTTGGCAGTTGTTGCGTTTGTTGATGCAGATTGGGATACGAATGTTGATGATCGTAGGTCTATCTCTGGCTATGGCGTTTTTGCAGGTAAGTGCCTTGTTGCTTGGAGCTCTAAAAAGCAAAAAACTGTGTCAATATCAACCATGGAGGCAGAGTATAAATGTGTAGCAGACATTGCAGCTGAAATAACTTGGGTAAATGCTCTACTTGCTGAACTTGGTCTTCAGCAGTGACAGGAACCGGTGATATGGTGTGATAACTCAGGGGCAGTAGCGATGAGTGCAAACCCCGTCTATCACGCTCAGTCCAAACACATTGACATGGACGTCCACTTTATCCGGGAAAAAGTTGATGTTGGCCTGTTAAAAGTAAACTACATTCCAGCCGCGCACCAAGTTGCATACGGGTTCACCAAAGCTTTTTCCAAAACTGCTTTTGAAGAAATTCGCAAAAGCGTATGTGTGGTGCCTATAGTGTAGTTACTGTAATAAAAGAAAAGAAAAAGTAGGAAGAATGTTAGACTTATGGTATGCCTGTATTGCTGGTGTATGCACGAGTATATGCTCTCATGTGTATGAGCATTGAATAAGCGGTTAGTTTGTTAAGTAGTTAGCTAAGGTAGTTATGTAGTTAGAAGGAAGTTTTTGAGCTGTTATTGGCCATTGTACACTTATAAAATGTTGTTCATGCTGATATGAAAGATACGCCTTTCTTGTAAAATCTTCAGTTCTCTCAACTTCTCATTAGTCTTATACATACGGAGTGACCATGCATCATATTCTTCTCCCATTGTGATCAGTGAAATTTATTAATTTTTGGTACTTCTATATTTTGTTCTTTGTATAACATACAATATATATATATATATATGTATGTTTTACTTTGTCCAAACATCCTATGTTGTACACATAGAACTTGCCATATAACATACAATAAATGTATATATATATATATATAGTAAAGGAACTTGCCATAAATTATACATATTGCATCCACTGACAACATCATATATGGTCTACATTTTTTACTTCAAAGTAGAAACCGTATTCTCTAGAAACAATAGAAGCTCTCTAAAAACCGTGTATGTATCAAAATAGAATGCAAACATAGCAACTTTAAAGCACTTCACAATAACTGAACAGCCATTCAATCAGATTTTCATTCAGCAACAATATCTTCATTGTTGCTCCCTTATGCTGTAATATCTGGCAATGTACTCAGATCCACAGCAGCATCTTTCTCTTCTTGGGAAAGCTAATTGTCGGAAGAATCGATGGGGTCAATGTTACCTCCATCCACAGTCTCATTAGAGGTGTGTCTGAGCTTTCATTTGTTCCCCTGGATTCATCGTCACCACCATGTTTCTCATACTGAGTTGAATCAGTTTTCTCCTTAGTTGTGTAAGACTCAGAACTGTGCCCTTCAGCCGTTGCATTTATCCTGGGGGTATTCTCTGACATGCCAGACTCTGTATTAGTCGATGAATTCGAGGATTCTGTTGTGGTCGAATCTACCATTTCAATTTTGCTTTCATCAATTGCATTGGAACCGGGCTGCTGCCCATTTGAAGTCATCTCATTGGCTCTCTCTTTATACTTCTCTTCAGTGACCATACCATCTTCGGTTGTATATTGTGCTGAAGTCCCATTCTGCAGTGAACCTGGCATTTCTGTGTTCACTTTTGCATCCGTGTTGCCTGTTTCTTTACTCACTCCTGTAGAGTTAATTCTTGCCTGCTCAACAGAGTCAGTTGTATTTGGAAGAAAGATATGCTCAGAGTTGGCTGATACAGTCTCGCGCTCGTTTTCTTTAGTGTATGTCATTTTCAAGGAATTATCACTGTCGGAGTGTTTACCTTCATCGACCTCCAATTCTGATTTGTTTTCATCATTATTAGAAGAACTACTACCTTCAGAGTGTTTACCTTCATCAACCTTCGATGTAGACTTGCTTTCATCACCATCAGTTTTCTCCGTAGCATTGGCTTTGCTCTCCTGTTCCAAAATATCCCTTGTTATGTTTTCACTAGAATTTTCCGTTTCTAGTTTATCAGCTTCAGTGCTAATAGTTCTCATGTTGTGGGACACAGCACTGGAAGCATCATCTGCCTTGTAATGCTCCTCTCTCGCTCCATGTGCCTCCCTCTCACCTCCATCAAGATTCTGATCATTTTCTGAATGCTCACTTTCTTCTTGACCCTCTTTTTCATCGTTTTCTTTATCATCACCCTATGCTTCTCTCTCTTTCTCCTCGTCCATAAGTGCTCAATCATCACGTAGTTAACCCTTAAAATAATTACCTTGATAAATATGTATCAAATTGAACAGTGTAATGGGCTAAGTGTCCCTCTGACCAATGACCTAATGGACGTCATAACAGAGGCCCAAAAGCCTTGGGTTTATAACATATTTATGCATCCAAAAGAATTCAATGAGGACCAAAATAAAATAGTGATTCCAAACTACGTTAACGATATTAAACATGTTGTTGTCCACTTGTGTTTCTGGAGCCGACAGATTGATATTCTAAAATATAGTAGTATGAAAACGAGTTATAATATCAAGAACTAGTATTTTGCAAAACAAAATCAATCTTGTCCACGCAGTTGATCTAATTCTGCTTTTCAAAAAGTTTCTTGTACTCCTCAATCTCAGCAGATAGTGCCTGCCTTTGTGGGTCCCAATCACCCTTGACTTGTTCCAGTTCCCTCCGCAAGCATTTGACTTCATTAACAGCATCGTCTCGAGGAGAATAAGATCCAAAATATATTAAACATGATATAATCATCTCATGTATACTAAATCTGGGTACCCGGATTTTCGGATACTCGATTTTCGGGTACCCGGAACTTTTGGGTCGACGATTTCTCGGCCCGTGTCTCGATCCGGATGTTACGGGTATCCGGTAATCGGGTATCCGGATTTTGCGGGTATCCGGTAATCGAGTACCCGATACTCGGTTTTTAATTTTTTATTTTCAAATTATTAATTTAAAAAAATCTATACAAAAATTTAAATGTTCGAAACTTCGAATTACATACTCTAATATCCGAACATAAAATTTAAAAGTTCAAAATACAAAATATAATAATTCATAATATAAATAATTCATTATATTTTATATAATTATATACCGGGTACCCGGAAAAACTAGATTTTGTGACCCGGGCCCAACCCGGGAAATGTCGGGCCGGGTACCCGACCCGGCCGGATAATTTTTTTTAGAGAATTACCCAGTTTTTTTAGATCCGGGTCGGCGGATCGAGTCGACGGGTCGGATAATTTTGCACACCCCTAATGTATACAGACACCAGTTCTAAAAAAATACAATGAATAGGTATAATTTAGTTTATAATAAACCAGTCATTGCTCCTGCAATCTGAATTTCTCATTTTCGATTAGTCGAGTATTATATTGTTCAAGACTCTTGATGTAGTCAAGTCCGCCGACACTAGTCCTACAATCAGGGCCGGCTCTGGGCAGGGGCAAGAGGCCGCCTAGGGCCCATAATTTTAATTTATATTAATTTATTATATTTTAATTAATTAAATTAAAAACAAGATCTATAAATATTAATATATTATTTTTTTAATTAATGCAAGAGAGCCCATAAACTTATTTTTTATTAATTTATTGTTCTCATCATAACGTTAAAAACTAAATTAATCATAATGTTAATTTTGAAAATTATAGAAATAAAGGGTTCGAAGCTAGTATAGATATTGCTAAAAGTTTTGCATTAGATATGAACATAGAGCCAATTTTTTCGACTAAGCGTCGTATTTTTAGAAAAATACAATTTGATGAGAATGACCATTAAGAAGAAATACAATCAGCAGATGAGTCTTTTAAAATTAATTACTTTTTTTGTTGATATGACGATCGCTACTTTGAAAGATTGATTTGAGGAGTTAAAGATTTTTGAAAATTATTTTAGATTTTTAATTGATTCTACAAGGTTGAAGTCATTGGATGACAATAAATTAAAAGAATGTTGTAATAATTTTAAGATCATTTTTTCTCATAATAATTAGTCGGATGTAGATGCAGATGATTTTTATTCTAAAATGAAAGTGTTGCAATTTACTTTGCCAACTGTATTCATGTCAGCGCTTGAAGTTCTTGAGTTTGCTAAAGCTAGAGATTGTTATCGTAATGTTTCAATTGCTTATCGAATCTTATTAACAATGCCAGTAACGGTAGCATCCGCGGAAAGAAGTTTTCAAAGCTGAAATTATTGAAGAGTTACTTGAGGTCAACAATGTCACACGAAAGATTGAATGGAATAGCTATGTTATATATTGAGAAAAATATGTTGGAAAGCATTGATGTTGACACTATCATCAATGATTTTGCATCAGAAAATGCTCGAAGGCAATGTTTTTTATAAGTATTTATATGTTTAAATATGTTTTTGACATTTTTGATATTGTAATGAATTAATATTTATTTAATTTAATAAAAAATTAATTAAAATTTTATATTACATAATTGTTAATATTCTTTTAAATTAGGGTCCATTTTTTTAATTTTGTCCCGGGCCAAGAAAAAATCAGAACCGACCCTGCCTACAATTGTGGCCACAATGTTACACAGTTCGAATTTAATTTTATGTTTGGATGGTCTTAATTAAATTATTCTAAAAAAGTAATTAATATAAAAATAATTATAATTACACTCTCGTAAAAGTATACAAATATGACTCTTCCACGAAAATATCAAATAAAAAAATGAAGTATACGAGTATATATTTTTTAGTTTTTTGATAAGATGAACTTGGTCAATTAAATTATAAATCATATTATTTAATATTTTTTCGAGTCCATTGCATACAAATCAACAATCAAATGCATAGTCTTTAGACAAAATATGTCAATTTAAATTAAACATGTTCTTGTTCTACGCTTATTAACACAATTTGCAAGTGTTTTGTAGCCTGGGACAAAGTCAGGGTTTTGTTCCTTTCAAAAAAAAAAAGTCATACAGGCTAAAACTATTGTGTAGTTTTTATTTTGTCACGTCATTCTTTATTTTTTTTAGTTTTCGACCATTTGGTTGTTGTTTTCGATTATATTTTTTCTTATGATTGGATTTGATTGTCACGACTGATCAAGATGTCAATTATTTGTCATCATATTGATCTTCTGTGCTTTGGATCCTTGGATTGATTTGGATATACATTTTGCGTTCGTTGATAGTCTTCTCACGCCACTTGACTCTGATTTGCGATTTGTTGGTAGTCTTTTAATAGCTTATTCCTTTTTGTGGTTCGTTTGCTGATGCAGTCAGATTGTTCGTATCTTTATTTTGTTCGAGCGTTGATGTACAAGAGATTAGACACCAAGGAATGACAAAACGACATCTTCAGGCTTGCAAAATTCAGGGAGAATAGGAAAAAGGATCTAGGTAGCATTAGATTTATAAAGGATAACAATGGTGTTCTTTTAGTGAAAGATCATGATATTTAAGAGGGTTTGAGGTAGTTACTTCTTTGGCTTATTTAATAACGGTGCCTCTCCCTGTAGAGATAGTAACGTTGATGGGTCAACCGACCATCATACTACGGCCAATGACTGCCCTACGAGTAGGATTGGGATTTAGCAAGTCAAAATGGCCCTTAGAAAGATGGGGAGGGACAAAGCTGTCTGTCCAGATCAAGTTCCTATCACTGTGTAGTTGACCCTAGGAGAAGAGGGAGTTAAGTGGTTGACCAACATCTTTAATATTATTTTAAAGACTGCCAAGATGTCAGAGGAGTGGAGAGAGTCTACAGTGATACCAATCTATAAGAATAAAGGAGATCCCCAACGTTGTGGTAACTATAGAGGTATTAAACTACTCAGTCATACCATGAAGTTATGGGAAAGGGTGATATAGACTAGGTTGAGACAGGTTACTACGGTTTCGGAAAACCAATTTGGCTTTATGCCAGACAGGTCTACTACGGAGGCTATTCATCTATTTCGATGGCTTATGGAGAAATATAGGGGGGAAAATAAATCTTCACATGGCGTTCATTGACCTTGAGAAGACGTATGATAGCGTACCCCGCGATACGATCTGGAAGACTTTGGAAACGAGACGGGTCCCAACAGCTTATATCCGGGCTATTCGTGATATGTATTGTAGATCTACTACATACGTCAGGACTACAGTTGGCGACACCGAGGCATTCCCGGTGGAAATCGGACTCCACCAGGGGTCAGCTTTTAGCCCTTACATTTTCGCCTTGATTATGGACGACATCTATTGTGCGACACCAGACGGTGTTCCATGGTGTATGTTTTTCACTGACGACATTGTCCTAGTTGCTGAAACAAAAAATGAGCTGAATAGTAGACTAGCTACCTGGAAGACTGATTTGGAAGGAAAAGGTCTAAGGATCAATATTGAAAAGACAGAGTATTTATGTTCAAACTTCAGTGGGAACCAAAACGATAAAGATGTAGAAGTATGCATCGAAGGAGACGTTCTCCCCTCAAATGATTGTTTCAAGTACCTAGGGTCTATGATACATAAAGATGGGGGTGTAGATGATGACGTCACACACCGTATAAAGGCGGGATGGCTAAAGTGGAGGGTTGCTACTGGAGTTTTGTGTGACAAGAATGTGCCTCTAAAACTTAAGGGAAAATTTTATAGAATGGCAATAAGACCAGCGCTGTTGTATGGATCAGAATGTTGGGCAATCAAGAAGGATCACGTAAGGAGGATGGAGGCCGCAAAAATGAGAATGATTCGATGGGCATGTGGTAGGACTCTGTGGGGCATGAAATCAAACTTTGCAATTAGAATGTCATTGGGGGTGGTGTCTGTATCCGAAAAATTGAGAGAGGGAAGACTACGGTGGTTTGGGCATGTCCTTAGGCGAAAATCGTCGGATGCGGTCAGGAGGGTAGAGTCGATTACGGTCGACGGTGCCAGAAGTCGACGGTGCCAGAAGGAGAGGACGACCAAGGAGGAAGTGGGTAGACTGCTTGAGATCTGATTTGAAGGATTTAGCCCTTACCGAGGACATGACCTCTGACAGGAAAGTATGGAGACTTAAGACCAGGGTAGCCGAGTAGTGTGGGTCACAACCATAGGGTGTAGCATCTCTGTCTTCTTTTTAAATGTCTTTGTAGTAATTTCCATGACTGCTACTTTTTATATGTTTCTGTCATTGGAATTTATGAAGGCTTAGAACTATGGTAGCGGAGTAGTGTTGTCTTATTTTAGGTTTTAACCTATTTGACTTTATTCCTTCTCGTAGCTTGCTATCGCTGACTACTGTGTATCATTCTCTTCATGTTTCCTCCTTTTAAATCTAGCCGGGACTTACGTTTTTGTCTATATGCAGAGATTTTTACGCAGGGATTTATTTGCAGGGATTACTGCCCATTACAGACGCGCATATGAGGACTGCATATGAAGACTGTTCAACTATGTATTTATTTATTTATTTATGCATGCATGCATTGTATTTTATCTTTATTTTTAATTTTCTGACTGCCGGAGGTATTCCACGGAAGCTGCTCTCAACCTGACGTTAGGGGCAACCTACTACCCTACCTCCCCCTTACCTCATTGCATATGAGAATAGAGTTTTGTTGTTGTTGTGTATATATAAAAAGTTTTAGAATGAGTCTCTTATATTTCTTTGTGTTTTATCGTTGACCTGTCATAACCGTTTTTAGGTTGGAACAATTATTTATTGTTTTAAAAACAGTTACGACTTTTAATTTTGGAAAATGGGTATT